CACCTCAGCCTCCCAAAGGCGCGGGATTACAGGCTGAGCCACCGAGCCCGGCTTTACCTTCAGCTCTTATTTGTGGATTTCTTAGTAAACATAAGATGTGACACACTTTCCATATCTTCTTTCTCTGTAAAATCTCAGTTGTGGTCAGACTCGGTGGCTCAGCCTGTAATCCCAGCACTTTGGGAGGCCGAGGCAAGTTGATTGCTTGAGCCCCTGGGTTCATGACCACCCCAGGCAACTTGGCAAGGCCTCATCTCTACAATAAATAGAAACTTAGTAAGGCGTGGTAGCACACTCTTATACTTCTGGCTACTTGGAAGGCTGAGGAGAAGGATTGCTGGAGCCCAGCAGGTCAAAACTGGAGTGGCTGTGAGTGTGTCACTGCACTCCAGCCTGAGCAATGGAGTGACACTCAAAAAAAAAAAGAAATCTCAGTTGCTACACTGATGGCTCTAGTAAGGACTATGAAAGAGAATTTTGTATCTCTCATCCACTTCATCCACTGACAGGACAACTGCTGTGGTGTAAATGGTCCATCAGACTGGCAGAAGTATACATCTGCCTTCCGGGCTAAGAACAATGATGCTGACTATCCCTGGCCTCGTCAGTGTTGTGTTATGAACAATCTTAAAGAACCTCTCAACCTGGAGGCTTGCAAACTAGGAGTACCTGGTTATTATCACAGTCAGGTGAGTCCTCTCTTGTCTCAAGACCTGCCAGAAGTTTCTTCTGCTCTTTATGAGGAAAATATTGGTCAACTGTAGGTAACAGTCTTTCGGTAAACAATTCTACATTTTTTCCCCCAAACCTCATGTTAACTATTTCCTCCTCTGTTAGTAAACTAAACCAGAACTGATATGGGCAAATTTACATTTTAAATAAAATTAACAGAGGCGAAGCACAGTGGCTCAAACCTGTAACCCCAGCACTTTTGGAGACCGAGGTGAGAGGATTGCCTGAGCCCCGGGGTTCAAGACCAGCCTGAGCAACATGGTGAGACCTAGTCTCTAGCCTAAATAAAAAAATCAGCCAGGCGTGGAGGTTTGCACCTATAGTTCCGCTACTTGGAAGGCTGAGGCAGAAGGATCACCTGAGCCAAGCAGGTCAAGGCTGTGGTGGCTATAAGCATGCTTCTGCACTCCAGCCTGGGTGACAGAGTGAGACTCCAACTCAAAAATAAATAAATAAATAAATAAAATTAACAGATCATAAAAAATTGCAATTGCAAAATCCAACTTTGTTTAAATAAAATAAGTTGTACAATATATATAATTAGTTTTTCAAGAAATATTTACATTAAACAAAGTTTTGTTCTAATTGTACAAATGTACATTACATTTTCCAATGTAAATTGGAAGGGATGATGTACAAAAAGAATGTTTTCCAGTTCCAAAGCAATGACAATTGCTGAAGGTAGATGCTGTAATTGTATATCCACATTCCTTATTCAGAGATAACATAGGACAGTCTTAATAAAACAGTAGGTTGGTGGTTTGGATAGAAGGTAGTTTACATCCAGGTATTTTTTTGGGAGGGGGTATTATTATTTTTTTTTTTAGTCTGAGTCTCATTCTGTCGTCCAGGTTGGAGTGCAGTGACACATGCACCACTTCCACAACCTCCACCTGCTGGGCTCAGGTGATCCTTCCACCTCAGCCTTCCAATTAGCTGGAACTATAGGCATGTGCCACCACACCCAGCTCACTTTTTTTGATTTATTGTAGCTACACGGTCTCGCCATGTTGCCCAGGCTGGTCTCGAACCCATGAGCTCAGGTAATCCTCTTACCTCAGGCTCTCAAAATGCTGGGATTACAGGTTTGAGTCACCGTGCCCACCCGTTTTTGTTTTGTTTTTTTAGATCGCAAAATATAGCTTATTTAGAAAGTAAATGAGAGAGAGATACTCACCTCTCCAAGGCAGAGGAGGGGGCCAAAGCTAGGAAACATGGCGAAAGTGGTTCAAGGAGCCATACAGTCGGACCATGGCTTAGCAAAGCAATGGGAGTTGGCTGCCCAAAGTCAAATCCTTTTTTAAACTTTCCCTTTGATGGGGGACCTTCAGCCTTTCCAGGTAGTTTCCAAAAGGGTATCTCCAGACTGATGAGGATAATGTGATTACAATCATGAAAACTAACATTTATTGGTACTTAGTGCCAGACACTGTTCCAAGTGTCATGTATATATCAACTCCTTTAATACTCAGTAGTAGTGCCAAAAATAATAGGGCTCCTATTTTGCAGCTGAGGAACTGAGATATAGGGATGCTAATAAGCACCTTGCCTAAGGTCACACAACTAGTAAATGGTAGCCAGCATTCAAACCCAAGCAGTCTAACTCCAGAGCACAGACTCTAAGCCAATAAAGACTTATTAATAGACCCCAAAAGCCTTGATGATATACCTTTGTCAGCATCTGCTGACACTGAACACTGAAATGTTGCGCACTTTGGAGTTACCCCACTGAGGAAAGCTAGTTTTTATGCCAGCTCATTAAATGATTGAGAAATGTCAGGCTCTTTAGTTTGGGAGTAAAGAATACAACCTACCCTTTCGGATGGAAGAGCATGGCGTGGTTAATTATCATATCACGCCTGGCAGGGTGCCCAGACTGGGACTGGATGCATTAATCCAGAAAAAGACACGGGAGCGATATAGATTAGCTTGCAGCCAAAGTTCAAAGCAACCTTTATCAAGTTTTACAGCAACATTGTTCTGGCATTGTTTTAATCAGTTATGTCCAGACTGCTATAAAAATTAAATTTATTGCTCATAATCACAGTATGCAATATAATTGCCCCCAGGATTAATAAAAGGCTTTCAGTGTTTCAACATCGGAACTGGCTCATGCCAACAAATCTTGATTGGATTGTTATTGTGTACACACTGCATCACTTCTTTGAAAGTGCCAAAAAAAAAAAAAAGGATATTTGCCTTCCTGCAATCAGTTTATTCCACAGCAACACTTTTTGTACCCATATATAGTTATATAGTCATAAGGACGGCTTGAAAATGCTTACTCTTCTTAAATTTAGATAGTTGAGAATTGAGGAAAAGACACAAATGAACTCTTTCTCCTCTGTCATGGGACCTCCACACTCACTTTGACTACTCTCCTAACGCCTTCCCCTGCAGCTCCTTGGCCTCATCTGGACTTAATAACTCCCTCCACCACCTACCAACTACAAACTAATCATCACTCAGCCCTACTCTACCAGATTCCTAAATTCTAAAATACCTCTCTCTGCCCCTGATTCCCTGTACCTCTACCTCCTCAACTGCACTCATTCGGCACCTTTAACAACATCTGTTGATTCTTTCTGATTCTCCCCATCCTGGTTCCCCAGATTCCCACACACCGCCATTCTCTCTGACTCATAGGTCCTGCTATGCTCCCTCTAGCAATCCTTTTTCACAAAGCAGAATGTGCCACCCTAACACCTAGCATATTTTGCTTCCATTATCACATTCACCACCTTGAACAATATTTGTTCACAAGTCTGTTGTTTCTATGAGTCTCCTTGAGGACTATATATTATTATTCAATTCCATACCTTTAGGATTTAGCATAATGCCTGGCATAAAATAGATGCTCAATAAATGTTGGGTGGGTGAATGAAGAAGTGAATGGCTCTTTTTTCATATCCATTTTTAGGATCTACAATGCACAAATATGGGGCAATAGCCATAAAGTCTAACAAAATTAGGGAAGTCATCCTGAGTGGTAATAGTAAAAAATCAACTGGAATGTTGCACAGCATGTCAGATGCAAGCTAGATAGATGGGCAGACAGACAGATTCTACATCATAGCCCGTCTGGCTCAGAAATGCTGCATGCAAGCTGTGATCACTATACCTCAAGAACTTGATGATGAAACCAAGGATGGTCAAGTAAAGCACTACCAAACTAACTGGCATCATGAAAAGTCACCAAATGAGAAAAGGTGAAAAACCGGGGCTTTTGTCTATGAGCTCCATGAAGGCGACGCCCTGTTTGTCACAGCTAAATGCCCAGCCCGCTGCCAGGCACCCAGCATAAGTGGGCTTTTATATGTATTATTAGATGAATGACCACCTCCCAGGATTGTGGGGAGGATCAAGAGAGTAATTGATATGTGGGTGTGTTGTGAATCCTTAAGTGTGTTGCAAAAGACACTCCTGTTAACATTACTTAATATCACATTCCATTCATTCTGCAAACATTTATTAGGTGTCTGTTATGTGCCAGGTGCTTGTTCTAGGTTCTTAAAGATTCAACGATGAACAAAATAAAATCCCAACCCTCGTGGAGCTTGCATGCTGGTATGGAAGACAGATAATAAGCATGTTACCAAACAAGTTCCTGGTAAAATTCCAAGCAGAAAGAAAGAGAGGGAATGCATAGAGTAGGGGAAGGGAGAAGGTGTTTCCTCTGTAGTTGTGAGGAAAGCCTTTGTTGGGATGTTACTTGCAGAGGTCTGAATTAAGTGAGGAAATGAGACACTGAAAGATCCAGGAGAAGAGTTCTAAGTGAAGGGAGCAGTGTGAGCGCAGATTCCCTGAAGTGGGAGCAGTCTCCGCTTTTTGAAGGAATATCAAGGAGGTCAGTATAATGAGGCTGGAATGAGTGAAGGATGAGCAGAGGTCAGAGATGGAACTAGATTTTGTGGGGCCGGAAGTCCATAAAAAAATTAGATAGATAGATAGATAAATCCTCCTTAGGAAAAACAGCAAAAATATGCATGCAAAATTAGGTACAGGGTCCTGAAGCTTAAATTCATTAGTTTTACAGTGAAGCGCCTCTGGTAGTAAAAGATTGGGGTCAGAGATAGAGGCAGGCCTTATCATTCAGTGCGTCCTAGGCCGTGGTAAGGACCTAGAACTTCACTGTAAGGGTGGTGGAAAGCCAAGGGTTTTTGAGCAGGGGTATGAATTGGCCTGATTTATGTTTCTCAGGATGGCTCTGGCACACCAGAAGCATTTTTTTATTTAAAAAGAAACGAATCAAAAAGTTAATAATTTTGCCTTGAAATAAATCACCAACAAAATCTTTTAGGAAGGAAAAACAAATCTGATTTTATTAAGAATATATTGTCAGCCAGGTGCAGTGATTTTAAAAGCTTCAGATTGGCCAGGCACGATGACTCAAGTCTGTAATGCCAGCACTTTAGGAGGCTGAGGTGAGAGGACTGCCTGAGCCCATGGGTTCGAGATCAGCCTGGGCAACTTGGCAGGCCCTCATCTTTACAATAAATCAAAAAAATAGCTGGTCGTGGTGGTGCACGCCTGTAGTTCCAGCTACTTGGAAGACTGAGGCAGAAGGATCACCTGAGCCCAGCAGGTTGAGGCTCCAGTGGCCATGAGCATGCCACTGCACTCCAGCCTGGGTGATCTGGGCGATCTGGGTGAGACTCCAACTGAAAAAAAAAAAAAAGGAATATATTGTCCATGTATTTAATATGAAAAGAATGTCATGCTAAAATAGCAATACTTTTTAGTGAGATTGAGTGATAAAGACACAATAAATGTGTTATAGAATAGCTAGTCAACAAAATTTATGTTCCATCAGAAAAGCACTGTTAGCAGCTGGTTGTCTCAGGGAAGTAGAAATAGCCTACTTTATGTGAAACTAGGTTTGAGGTGGCACTGATTCAGATAGGAACCTACTTTTCCATTGATCACTTATGCCTTTTTTTTCTGGTTCTTCTCACATCAATCTGGAATCACCCACTCCTTCAGGGCTGCTATGAACTGATCTCCGGTCCAATGAACCGACATGCCTGGGGGGTGGCCTGGTTTGGATTTGCCATTCTCTGCTGGACTGTGAGTATTTCCCTGAACATATTTAATTTCTGAGAGGATGATGATGGGGGGAGGGATCTTGACATTGCCACTGGTTACCTTAACTCCACTATAAGTTCTGAAGCAAAACCTCCAACCTGAAGGCTAGTCGGGAATCTTCTGGCACCAGAGCAAAATCAGTGGGTTCACTTGAAAGGCAGGGAGTTAACTTCCCCTACCAGGGAAAGATCTGCCTAATAACCAGCTCCCTTTTCTGGCTGACTGGGATGCACTTGCCTTCGGGGGCTGGAGAGCCTCTTTCCCTTGCCTGAACTCCTGACTGAACCCCAGATTGATCCTCCAGGTCTCCATTAATTTATTACAACTAGATATCACAGACTATCTAAATGGCTCCTGCCTGGCTTCTGCCAAAGAGCTGCCTCAGCTGGTCTCATCATTTCCTAACTGCCCACTTTATCTGACACACACGCAGCAAGAGATTAGAGCAGTGGTTCTCAGCCCCTGGCTACACATGAACACCTCTTGGAGAAGCTTTTAAAAAAATGCTTGGACTCTCGCCAATGAGACTCTGGTTCAGTTAATCTTTCCCCAGTTGATTCTCATTTGCTGTCAGAGTTGAGAACCATTGCATTAGAAAAGCAGTCCCGACCTGGCTCAGTGGCTCAGTCTGTAATCCCAGCACTTTGGGAGGCCAAGGCGAGTGGATTGCCCGAGTCCAAGAGTTCGAGACCAGCCCGGGAAACTTGGCGAGACCTCGTCTCTACAATAAATCAAAAATTAGCCAGGCGTGATAACTCACGCCTGTAGTTCCGGCTACTTGGAAGGCTGAGGCGGAAGTATCATCGGAGCCCAACAGGTCAACACTGAGGTGGCCGTGAGTGTGCCACTGCACTCCTGCCTGGGTGGCAGAATGAGACTCCAACTCAAAAAAAAAAAAAAGAAAAGAAATGCAGTCCCAAACTTTTTATTTCAGAACCCCTTTACATTCTAAAAAAATTAAGAACTCCAGAAAAGCTTTTATCTATAGCTACCAATCTTTATCTCATTGGAAATTAGTATTCAAAGATTGTATATATTATTCATTTAAAAATAATAATAGCCAGCCACAGTGGCTCAAGCCTGTAATCCCAGCACTCTGGGAGGCCAAGGCGAGCTGATTGCCTGAGCCCACGGATTCAAGAACAGCCTGGGCAACTTGGTGAGGCCTCATCTCTACAATAAGTCAAAAAATTTGGGTGTGGTAGCGTGCGCCTATAGTTCCAGCTACTTGGATGACTGAGGTAGAAGGATTACCAGAGCCCAGCAGGTCGATGCTGGGGTGACCATGAGCGTGCCACTGCACTACAGCCTGGGTGACGGAGTGATACTCCAACTCAAAAAACAAAAACAAACAAAAAATAATAGTAAGCCAATTACAAGCTAACATAAACAACACATTTCTGTGGGAAAAATAACTAACAAATGAAAAAATATCAAGAAAGGTGACATTGTTTTCCATTTTTGTAAATCTCATCAATGTCTGGCTTAATTTAAAGACAGCTAGATTAATTGAAGACAGCTGGAGACCCACATTTGCTCCTTCAATCTATTGTAATATGTTGCCTAAACTGAATGATTTGACAAAATACATTCTTCACATGGATATGTAATTAAAAAACAATAATGCTTTGATAGCTTTATCTGAAGATAAGTGTGAATATTTTTTGATACTACACAAAACTCCAAAAGCAGTAACTTCTTAAGGATCAGTTGCAATTTGGAAGCTGAAACTATGTTCATGAACTGTTCATACTCTATTACTTTTAAATGCATTAACTTTGTCTGTCTTACTCTTTGCATTAATCTTTAACCATACATAATTCTATAACATCATGGATTGGTTAACTGGAAAAATATTCATTCACTATATTATGCAGATCTTCCAAATGTTGACTGATTTCTTCACTGAATACCAAAAAATCACATTCATTGATGTTGCCACATTTGGAAAGACCTTAAGCAATGGGCTACTATAAAGTTCACAGTGACAAATACAAGTTTTCCAATGCTCTGATTTTTGCTTGAAAGCTAATTTATCATTGGCAATAAATATTGTCAGTTGTTTTTCTTGAAGTGACAAAAATCACTTTGTAAATTTTAGAGAAAATGCCTGCCACACATCCGAGTTTGAATAACCATAGCCTGTTTGTTAATCATTTTTTTCAAGTAAAAACGATGTTTCAGGGGAAAAAATTGGCAAGTTCAGTGCATAATTCAAACAATCACACAGTGCTTTTCAAGACAACCATACTTCAGTGTAACAGGACATACAGAATATTTAAAAAGATACATATTTAAAAGTCAAAATGTAATAAAATTGGTAATTCTTACTGCTTCACTAAAGACACTCTCAAGCAGAACTGGCTTTACTTAATTTTTATTTTTTTATCACAAGTGCAGAGCAGTGAGGAATCTAGTGACCACCAGCACAGTTTAGTGCCTCTACCATGATTCTTGCTAAGACTCCAGTAGTTTTATCTTCCACTGATTTGCACCATCAGGCAAATGTGAAAACAGTGAAAAGGGCAAGTAAAGCCTAATTGTTATTCAAGTAGGCTTGACATCATGGACCCCTGCAAGGGTCCCTCGGGTGTTGGTTTACCATGCTATAATAAATACTGGCTGAGGGTGATAAACCAAGTGAGGCAGGAAGGCAGATCAACTCCTCCAAGAGGTCTCTTGCAGTCCCCCGAACCACTCCGTTAGGAGCTCCCACAATGCCCTAGGCTCACCTCCGTCGTAGAACTACTCCAGGGTGATGTATTTAACTGGAGAAGACTGGGAACCAGCTGTCCAGTGCCTAGCAAAGCACATAGTAAGGGCTCAGTCATTTGTTGAATAGATGAAAGATGATACCAGTGAAGTTGCTATTCATGCCATATTAGCAGGAACTATGGAATAACATTTAAAGGATTTTGAGTATCTTATCACTCCAAACTGGTCTAGTTAAGTCCTCCCTTGAAATTCAAAAGACGAAAGGGAAGGGAACTAAATATAACTGAGGACTTGCTATGGACAAGATCAAACATTTTTAATATTAAATCCCCACAAGATTAGATAGGCAGATAACCAGTCTCTCGTCTTATAAGGAACAGAGAAATTCAACAGGGTTCCCAAGAATTGTGCTTTAGAAGAGTTATTAAGCATGCCCAGTTCACTACTGCTTGCAGAGATCTTTCCCTTAGTGATTAACCAGATAAACTCTAAAACATTCACTTCAATTATATATGTAGCACTTAGAACAGTGCCCGATACATAGTAAGTTCTCCTAAGAAACATTAGGTCCTATTAATTACTTCATCTCATTCACTCCTCTAGTTCTGGGATATACAGATAAATTTTATATGTATTTTACATATATGAAACTGAAGCTCAAGAAAGTTAAGTAACTCAGCTAAGGTTACCCAGGAGTAAGAGCCAGATCTAAAACAGAACCCAGATACTCTATCTCCTTGCCTGAGTCAGAGTCAGTTATCTTGAGTTCTATGGCATTCTCTAGGGGAAGCCATTCCAGGTCACAAGCATTTTAAGACAAAGGAGGTCCAGGCATAGTGGCTCACACTTGCAATCCCAGCACTTTAAGAGACCAAAGTGGGAGGATTGCTTGAGCCTAGGAGTTCAAGACCAACCTGGGCAACATAGCAAGACCTTGCCTCTACAAAAAAATAAAAAAATAAAAAATTAGCTGAGCACAGTGGTGCATGCTTGAAGTCCCAGCTACTCAGGAGGCTGAGGCAGAAGGATCACCTGAGCCTAGTAGGTGGAGGCTGTGGTGAGCCATGATTGTATCACTGCATTCCAAGCCTGGGAAACAGAGTGAGACCCCAGCTCAAGAAAAAAAAAAAACACCAAAGGGAAGTTCTCTGGGAGAAGTTAAATAATAGAAGCAAGAAACTCTTACTCCAAAATGATACATACTAGAAATAAGAGGGTATGGAAGGTAGCCTTGATGGGAAGAAGAAATAATTTCCCCAGTGGGCAAGTTTAGCACAGAGCAGGAAATGCAGCCCCAGAATATAGAGAGTCTAGGATGGGAACTAGCCATCAGGAAGTGGAGAGTAGAAAAGTTGCCTCTGAGCGTAAGGTTATAAGTGATCCTTTGGAACAAGAGAAACTCGGCGTCACGTCTGACCCTGTGATGTTGCCTATGACAAGATAACTCTTAAAAATCTTGTGCCACGTAAGTCTAACATCATTTTTTTGCAAGTATGCTTCTAAAACAATTCCTTATTTATTTTTCTTTGTGTGTGTGTGTTGTTGTTGTTGTTTTTTCTTTTTATCCTAGTTTTGGGTTCTTCTGGGTACCATGTTCTACTGGAGCAGAATTGAGTATTAATTAAGCATGAACTGTCACCACCATACCTCCTTCCCCTGGACTTCATACTGGAATGGGCTCTCTCCTAATATTCCACATTTATGCTTCATACCAACATGAGCATTGCCAGCGCAGATGGTATGGAGTCCCTTTAGGCTCTCAGCCTCCTGAAATTCTCCTGACTAGTACTTCTCATCCGGTCTAGGATTCTACAACATTTTTATAGACTGTGAGAGAGAGAAAACTTGGAAAGTTGATCATCACTACTCCCATCTCTGCTTATTTTTAACTGGACATTCAATGGAACCTGTGTTATCACAGTAAACCAAGTTTGTATGTGGATAGCAAATCTACCTATGTTTCTCACTGTTTTCTAAAAGAAACCTACCAAAGCTTCCTTTTGTCTCTGTATTGTCAGGGGGAGGAGAAAGAAGGAAAAACTATCTTTTGCCTATCTTTTACAGTGGCTCTCATCTACAGAGACTTGGGTGATTCTTTTGATACCACCATCAGATCTTTTTATTCTCCAGAGTAATCCTCCATCTTGAGTTAACTATGGTTCAAATTTCCTCTCATATCTTGCAGAGTGATATGTGTTTAGTAGCCCAATTCTCAATTAATTAAAATGATGAGGACTTTTGGGAACAAAGATGGAGTCTGTTTATTCAGTCTTTGCCCTCAATGACCTCAACTTGAAACACCTTTCAAATAGGAGAGAAGCAAGCCAGACAATAGAATGAGGTGATTTAGGGATTCTTGTTTGCTGTCAAAATATTTCTCTTCTGAACTATGTTTCCGTTTGTGATCCTGAAGGAAGTTCTAATAACTCAACATTTGTTTATCTAGTCTTATAAATAAAGGAGGCTTTAAAATCTGTTCACTTTCTTTCATTTTTATCAGTGTCATAACTGGTCATCATATATGAGTCTAACAAAATGGGTTTTCCAACGGAAGAGCTTAATTTATGGGAATTAAAGTGAAGGAGATGGAAACTATATACCCAGGATGTGGTTTCCTACTGGATATGAGCTCACCTTGCTATACAGTTAAATAGCTGTAACTTCAGTGTTCACTTTGCTTTTAGTTCCTGCTACTCTTAACCCCAGCATTTTTTTCTTCCTGCACTTGGAAGCAATGGAAATATCTCTTGACTGTGTCTTTTATGAAGAAAACATACCTGTCATTGGGGGTCTTACTCCCAGCCGACTCAGACACAGAGAGCACCCCTATCCCATGACCCAACCAGATTTCTGTAAGTTAGGCTGAGCACTGAGGCAGGGGAGGGGTACAGGAGGAGTGAAGGGCACACATCCAGGTATATCCAGTGGTAAGCCTGGAGCAAGAGCTGGATCCCTGATTCCCAGAACAGGGGGCCAAATGTTCATTTCCTGGTGGCACAGCCAGCTCATCCCTCCCCTGCCTCACCTTGTTTCTCCAGGAGAAGGATCTTGGGATGTCAAGATAAATGACACTTGGCTGAGAAGGTTCTCTCTCTGGTCCTTCAGAAGAGGAGAGGGAAGCCACTTACTCTGGGCAAAGCTTTTAAATGGTCGCTCTCAGATCTCCCTCTCCACACTCGCTCATGTGTGTTCTGGTTCCTTCTGCTCCCACCACTCACTAGGCTTTCCAGTGCTCTTGTACTTTCCATCTGCTGAGCAGTTCCTGCTGCAAACCCACTCCTGCCATTCCTTGCAGGGCTTCATGCTCCAAAATTCTCTCTACATACAAAATTCTTCTTATGATTGAAACTCAACTAGGTCAAGGAAAAACCTTTTTTGGAAACTAATTCATACTAAAGGGTGAGTGATATTTAGTCTCCACTCTCTTAATCTCGACAGATTTTTCCTTGACAACAGAAACTGATCTCTAGCTGGTGGATCCCAGAGTGGCAGTGAGAGCAGGAAGGAGTTATTGTGACAGCCTATCTGCTGCCCTCTAAATCTTATCCCCTGACCTTCCTGTCAAGAAGAGAAGGGCCTTCCGTTAGCCACTGCTCCCTGCCCCTCTCCAGTTAGCTTCTTACCCGGAGCCTCAGACTCCTTCATAGAAGGTGTAAGTTCACTACAGATGGGGACAGACTCTGCTTCTCCCAAAACCAAACAAGGCCTGAACCCAGGCAGCCACTATGTCCAGGCCCAACACTTGAGGAAGACACACCTTTCAGCTGAGACAGAACTGAGGCCTGAGGACCTCCCTACAGGAGAGTCTGGCCATTCAGGACTTCTGTGCTTACTGCTACAAAGGCCTTCAGTTGAACCTCAGGGCATCTTCTGCTCTTCCCGGTTCCTGCTTCCATTCCCCTCCACCTTCCCTAGAGGCCCAGCCTTCCCCCTTTTGCTTCCGATTCCTAGGACTGGAAGCGGGGCTCATTGCAAGCCCCAGCCCCCGGCCACCATTCAGGAGGGCCCAGGCCCAGCCCCTTCAGACCAGGAAAGGTGTAGGAGAGCTGTACAGCTTGGCTCCGGGCAGCTGGCAGGTTGCTGGGCTTAAGACAGGCCCAGACAAAACCATCTTGTGAAACTTCCCTCTTCTCCAAAATTAGCCTGCTTATCAGTTGGGCAAAGAGCAATGACTAACCTAACACCAAAAATGTGTCAGGCTAACTCTGGGGTAAGTTTCACTTGATTGCAACACCGAAGGGTCATCCCACTCTTGAGGTTGGCCATTTCCCTCCCCAGATTGCTGCTTGGCAGGCTGTTACATGTAATGCTAGAAAGTTCACTGCTCCCATTTTTCATCCCTGTAACTTTTTTTTTTCCTACATCAGCTGGAATAAACAGGAACTGCTTCTATCTTAAGCAGCAGATCAGATACTTTCCGGCTACCCATAGGGAAAAGAAAGAATAATAGTCATATGAACTTGAAAGTCTAATCTCCTCTCAACCTCACACTCACACTCCTACCCCCACCAATCTGATTTACAAGCTGAGCTATGGATGAGGAGTTAGAAACTGAGCTGGTTTCTCATTTCTTTCTTTTTTTTTTTTTTTTTTTTTTTTTGAGTTGGAGTCTCACTCCATCGCCCAGGCTGAAGTGCAGTGGCACGCTCATAGCCACCCCACCATCGACCTGCTCAGCTCAGGCGATCCTTCCGCCTCAGCCTTCCAAGTAACTGGAACTACAGGCACGTGCGACCACAATTGACTAATTTTTTGATTTATTGTAGAGATGAGAGCTCGCCAAGTTGCCCAGGTTATTCTCGAACCTGTGGGCTCAGGCAATCCTCTCACCTCCGTCTCCCAAATTGTTTCTCGTTTCTATTGACAGAACAATTTCCTTTCTCCTTCTGTGTCTAGTATTTCTCTTCCCTGCTTCACCTCACCCAGATACTTCTCAGCTCCTGTGAGACTCAATCAAAGAAGGACCCCAGAGGAGACTAGTTGTAGGCTATTGAGTTTGCTTTTGTGCATTATCATGAGGCTCAAGAGGCCTCATCCAATGAGAAGATCCAAAAACCTCATGGAGAAAGGCAGCCTTGTTGAGAAACACATAGCTACCAGACCTCCTTCCAGCCACCCTACTCCCAGCCCACACCCCCACCTTGCATCATTAGGACACAAACAGCCAAATCCTAGGGTTACGGGAATAGTGCTGTCAGGCCCTACTTTCTAGTGGTCTCTACCTGAATTCCTCTTGAGAAAGAACAACAGAGTAGCCCTGGCATTCAGAAGCTGGCCTGGCACTCAAAATTAGGCTCAGCTATTCTCCTGTTAGACATATACAATTTTTTTTTTTTTTGAGTTGGAGTCTCACTCTGTCGCCCAGACTGCAGTGCAGTGGCTGCCGGGCTCCAGTGATCCTTCCACCTCAGCCTTCCAAGTAGCCGGAATTACAGGCACGCGCTACCACACCCAGGTGATTTTTTGATTTACTGTAAGAGATGAGGTCTCACTGCCCAGGTGGGTCTCGAACCCGCGGGCTCAGGCAATCCACTCACCTCAGCCTCCCAAAGGCGCGGGATTACAGGCTGAGCCACCGAGCCCGGCTGACATAAACAATTTAACAGAGCATCCATCCTAGATGAGGTCATTCTGAGACCATGGTAAAATGAGGCAAACCAAAGCCACTGCATAATTTTGTCTAAGCACCTGCAAAATATCAAGCACCTGCTTTCTTGACTAAAATGAGTGACTGCTACTTCTTACCAATTACTGCATTATTCTTCTGCTAGTCTCTCTTCCTATAAATGAAACTTACTGAGATATGCAACCATGGGCTTGCCCTGTCCTCTCCAAAGGACCCACCAAAGCCCAAACGCCATAATAGTTATTTCTAACCCCTTTCTACTGAGTCACCTCACCCCATGGTGTGCTCTCACTCACTGCAGCGAGTCATAATCCCAATATTTTTTCACAATAGATCTCTTGATCAGGAGGAATAATCCTGTTTAACTGAAATTTTGTATCCCTTTGATCAACATCTGACCAAATTTATTTATCTGCAGATGTGTCCCTGGGGGTTTTTGACGGAAGGGCATTGATACTCCCAAAATGACTCTACCCATCCTTATTTCCTCTACAAATTGGTTACGTATTTATCTGCATTCACAAAGTGGTTAAGAACATAAAATTTGGAGTCAAACACTTGGTTCCAAATCCTCACCTTCTGTTTTTATGAATCTTTGTTTTGTTTTCTTTTGTTTTTGAGTAGGAGTCTCACTCTGTCGCCCAGGTTGGAGTGCAGTGGCACGCTCACGGCCACCACAGCCTCGGCCTGCTGGGCTCAGGTGATACTTTCACCTCAACCTTCCAAGTAACTGGAACCACAGGCGCACACCACCATGCCCAGCTAATTTTTTAAAAATTTATTGTAGAGATGAGGTCTCATTACGTTGCCTAGGCTAGTCTTAAACCCCTGGACTCAAGCAATCCTCTCACCTCAGCCTTCCAAAGTGCTGGGATTACAGGCATGAGCCACCACACCTGGCTCAAATCCTAGCTTTCTGACAAGTCACTCAGCTTCTTAGAGCCTGCTTTAGAAAAACAGATCTATCCTCCAGAGGACTGGGAGGATTCGATAAGATATATGTCAAGTGATGTAAAGTATGCATCAGCCTAAAGGAGACACCAAACAGGAAGTTACACCATAAATCTGGTCCAGAGAACTCTGCTTGACCCATAATCCCTAGGAACACACCAACTAATACCATGTTGCCTCAGTTTATTGCCAAAGCTTAATGACTGAGTATACCGGTCTAAATTTACTGACCATCAAACAATAGCTGTAAGTAATAGCTTTTCAGTGAAACTCCTACTCAATAGTGGAAGAAAGTACTAGAGTCATCAAGATAAGGAATTTTAATGGATACCTCTCAAGTTCTCTG